ATTTTAGCTTTCACAACCTCGCTTTCAAATTGGTACCTGACCAGAGACACAGGAGCAGTGATGTAGATGTGTACATTGGTACTGGTCTCCCCATGACCCACTGGTTTATTTCTGCATTGTGTTCCGTTGTGGTTTCCTGTGATGGTCTCCATTTTCTGTAAAGAGAAGGGTCTTAGATGAGGAATGGTAGCTTCACTTATCTGTGGGTATAAGGATAAGATTTCAAGTGTAGTAAGGAATTATGCTAGTCTAGAAAAGTTGTGCTGGTAGAGTCTTTTCTAAGGTCCATGACCTCACTTGCTCTGGGAAGCTACTCTAATAACAGCTTATGAATGAATTTATATTGACTGTATAGTTTTATCTTCAAAAGCAAAAAAAAAGGTGTGAGCTGGAAGTGAAGCAAGGCCATTGGTGCTCCGAGTTCATCCTTTGTGACATATATCCTCCAACAAGGTTCCACCTTTTACAATTTCCCTAAACAGTGTCACCAAATGGGAACCAAGTGTTCAACTAGGGAGCCTACGGGGACGTTCGTGAGTCCAGCCTGATTTCATAGTGTCTGTACTAATTTATGCGTCCACCCACAGCGCATAAGAATGTTCCTTTCTGTACATCCACATCAGCATTGCTTGTCACTTGTATTCCTGATCATAGCCATTCTGCCTAGAGTGATGAAATCCTGAAGTAGTGTTAATCTGTGTTTCCTTCACAGCCAAGGACAGTGAATATTTTTCAAAGTGTTTTTTAGCTGAGTGGGATGCACAACTTTAATCCCTGCACATGGAAGCCAGAGGAAAGTGGCTTCTGTGAGTTGCAGGCCAAGCCTGGTCTGCACATGGTGAGTGCCAGGATGGTCAAGAGGCACATAGAGAGACCGTATGTAAAAAAAAAAAAAAAAAAAAAATAGTTTACTAGCCATTTGTAATTCTTTCTGAAATTATAATATCAGGAGCCTATGTTTAAAAAAAAAGTTGTATATTTAACAGTGAATTATGATGGAGCACAGAATGTTCTTTCCACAAGGTAGCCTTCTAGAAGAAAATGTATAAACCATAAGTGAATGCACTTGAAAGCAAGGACATGAAGGGAACAGCATGACATATTTTTGGCTCTTTTCACATGACCAATGATGATAAGACACACCACCAGCTGAATTCCCTCAATGCCCTTCTATTTGCTTAGGTTAACTGCAAAAGTCAACTCACATTTCCCTTGCTTTAGGAATAAAAATGGGAAGTGCTTTGTTCATACCACTCTTAAGTCTGGAGTCCCCTGGTAATCCCTTGTAGATCTTTTCACAGAACTTTCAATCTGAAGAGATTTAGCCTCCCTGGCCAGGGAAGGTAAACAATATAACATTTCTCCCTTCCTTTTCTCCCTCGAAACCCTTCCAATATAACCTTTCCTGCTCTCCATCAAATTCATGGCTTCTTTTTTCATTAACTATTATTGCATGAAAATACATATATACATATATACATGTATATTTCTAAATATACCTCTTCAGTCCCTGTTACTTTTATGGATGTTTTCAGGGCTGACTATTTGGTATTGGACAAGCGATTGGTGTGCTCTCTCCATTCCCAGCTTTCCTCAGTTGCCTGTAGTTTTTTATGTGGGGTTGAGGCCTCATGGGCTCTTCTCTGCCCATGTTCGTCTGGCCATTGGTGTCCTCATTGTTCATTCTTGAGCAGACATGTTGATAAGACTTTATGAGCATAGCTTCTGTCCACACTCGGAGACACAACCTCACAGCAAACTTCCTGATCTCTGGCTCTTACAATCTTTCCACCCCCCTCTTCCTCAAATTGGCCTGAGCCTTAGATGTGGAAGTGTTTTATACATGTCTCTATTGGGACTGAGCTCTATAACTCTGCATATTGATTGATTGTGTTTCTGTATTGGTCTCCGTATGTTGCCTTGATGAGCGGTGAGGACCACACTTATCTGTGGGCATAAGGACAAATGTTTACAGATTGTTGTTAGGGATGATGCTGCTTTAGCAAATTCGTGGCTGTAAATTCTCCACCATTAACCATGACCTCACTAGCACTGAGCAGTTAGGTTTGTTTCCTGTATCAGCATGGTTGCCCTCTTGTTGAGCAGGTCTTAAGTCCAGTGAGTTCAATTTAGTCCAAGGTACACATGCCACAACTTCATTTCGGTTGTCATGCCATGCTGGTTGGTCAGGTTCACAGGTGTCAAAGCTGGGAAGGACTACTGGTTTTCCTCCATCTCTGGATGCTTTCTGGTACCAAGAAACCTAATCCAAAGGGAACAGAAATGCAGGTCAGTTCCAGCTCTGGGTACCACAGCCATTTTATATCCCGGGTTAAACAACAGTATCCTCTTTTGGAAACAGTTGTCTTTTCAGCTCTTTCCAAGGGCTCAGTGCTTTTCACCTTGGTGCTGCTTTGCTGTTCTCCTTTCTCCTGCTACAAAGTAGGGAGAAGAGCTGGGTGGAAAACAGGGCGTTTGGAGGACACTGTGAGACATACGTGCTTGGGTCTGTGGGGAAATCTCACCTCTGGAGCCAGCTTCAGTGAGGTTAAACAGCACATGACAATTTGCTAACAAAAGGCATTCATTCCACTGTAAAACTGAAGAACCAGAGAAGCGAGAGAGAAGGAATCCAGTTGCTTGCTGTGCTGTGTATTGAGAATGAGGACAAAAAAGAGGTAAGGATTTTTGCCCCACCAGAGGATTATCAGGGACAAAACTTGATTTAGAATTGTAAACCTCTGATATCTTCATATTTTGTAAGATCATGCCACACAGCTTCCAGAAGCCACAATCAAAGAGGATCAAGCCAACAAAAATATCTGCCTTCACCCCTGGGTAACTTGACATACTCTCTGGCTATTCTTGGGGTGAGGGCTAAACTGCTTGAAGACCTGTACCTGCAATTAGTGTGTGTGTGCACCTGGGAGAAGACATCCTGAAAAACCCAAGGAATAAATAAATGCCTTTTCACCTAAACAAACAGCACTATGACTGATACTCCTGATTCCATCTTCCAGTTTATGTTTGGGCCAGGATTAACTATAGAAAAATATCAGGCCTTTTTTTTTTAAGGTTTAGGTCAGTCTAGGGGTTACCTGTTACCACTCTATGAGGCAAGAACAATCATCTATATTGGATGATCTTCCATCCCTTCTTTGCCTTCTTCCTCTCCAGAGAGTCCTCTGATATTTTTCCTTTTTTTTCCTTTCATCCCCTTGTGAGCAACCACTAGGAAAGGGAAGCCTGTTGTACTCTCTGGCAGAACTTAGATCCCTGTACCCTGCCCTCTCTCATTAGGGACCACACTGAAGGGAGCCTATAGACACCAGTCACTCTTGACTTCCCACACTGTGACCTTGATGAATCCTTTCAGATGAATGCTGGTGTGCAATTTGCTTTCTCCTTTAAATGCAGCCATGTTCTCCAATCCATGGAATAATGCCACCCACATTTACTGTGGGTTTCCCCATCTCAATTAATTTAATCTAGAGAAATCTCATGGACAAGCCTAAAGGCTGGTCTCCTATATGATTCCAGAGCCTTTCAAATTGGCAATCTTAAGAAGCACAAGAATTGCTGGGCGGTGGTGGCCCACGCCTTTAATCCCAGCACTCAGGAGGCAGAGCCAGGCGGATCTCTGTGAGTTCGAGGCCAGCCTGGGCTACAGAGTAAGTTCCAGGAAAGGCGCAAAGCTACACAGAGAAACCCTGTCTCGAAAAACCAAAAAAAAAAAAAAAAAAAAGCACAAGAATTATCCCAGCCAATTATTAATTTTTAAAAGGGCAGAGTCAACATGCCAGCATTTTACAGCTCTGATTAAGGAATCCAGATATCTATTCCCAATTACTATTCACGATGCAACCAATTTTGTACATCTGACAGAATTACATCACCTAGGAACTATTTGTTCCACATATACCCGCTAGTTGTGATACTTAAACTTACAAACAACATCTTAAAAAATTAGGAAACAGGGCTGGAGAGATGGCTCAGTGGTTAAGAGCATTGGCTGCTCTTCCAGAGGCCCTGGGTTCAATTCCCAGCACCCACATGGCAGCTCACAACTGTCTGTAACTCCAGCTCCAAGGGATCCAATACCCTCATACAGGCAAACCAATGTACATGAAATTAAAATGAATAAGTCATTTTTTAAAAATTAGGAAACAAACTGACCAACGAACACCTGTGTGCCAACGCCTCACTCCACCCAGGGCAGTGCTCTGAGGCTCCTGGTGCTGCAGGCGAGGGCCAGGGACCTGCAAACAGGGAACTAACTTCCTCCTGGAGGCTGAGGAGGAAGAGGAAGTGCCTCTCCGTGTAGCCTTGGAAACCTGGGGAGGCATTCTAGGGAGGCTTCCCCTTAGTGCGACCCTTGATCTGCTCTGGCAGCCTCAGAGGCGGAGCAGCCCGGACACTGCATGGCAGCGATGTCCCGGGGTCACTGTGACGTTGGAGGTAACCGTGGTGTTGTTCTGCCCCGCTGGTCTGCATCACTCGAGGAGCGGGAGGGCACGGTCAGCACGCTGTCCCCGCTTCCGCGGCTCAGTGCCAGCCGCTGCGCTCAGAGTAGAGCCCGGTGCTGGCACGTGCCAGGGCGACGGCCCCTGGTTCTTGATCCTGAAAGGACTCTTCCTTGTCACAAGCTCTTTTGGCTGAACTCTTTTTTTCCCTTTTTATTTTACAACACCATTCAGTTCTACATATCAGCCACGGATTCCCTTGTTTTCCCCCCTTCAGCCCCCCTCCCCTTCCTCCCAGCTCACCCGCCATTCCCACCTCCTCCAGGGCAAAGCCTCCCCCGAGGACTGACATGGACCTGGTAGACTCAGTCCAGGCAGGTCCAGTCTCCTCCTCCCAGACTGAGCCAAGCATCCGTGCATAAGCTCCAGGTTTCAAACAGCCAACTCATGCAATGAGCACAGGACCTGGTACCACTGCATAGATGCCTCCCAAACAGATCAAGCCAGTCAACTGTCTCACCCGTTCAGAGGGCCTGATCCAGTTGGGGGCCCCTCGGCCTTTGGTTCATAGTTCATGTGTTTCCATTCGTTTGGCTATTTGTCCCTGTGCTTTATCCAACCTTGGTTTCAACAATTCTCGCTCATATAAACCCTCCTCTTTTGTTTTGCACGGTCCTCTTCAAGATGGGGTGGCTGCGGCCGGGACCAGAAAATCCAAGGTGAGGTTCCCTGTAGCACGCAAGGGTAATGAACTGGAAATTTTCGGCATGGGTAGAAGGATTTCATCTTTAAAAGAAGCACCTTTCCTTTCCTCAGGGATTTCCATTTTAATTTATAATCACCCATTGATTTCCTGTTCTTTTTTAATTTCCTGATATGCAAGCAGTTTGCTTCCTTCCTGCTCCTTGTTAGCGCTATCCCGAGAGATCCTGCTGTATTTCAGACATTTAACTAGTCAATTTTATGAAAGTTTACACAGTGACGCGATGAAGGGGACTAGGTAAGAGGAAGAGTCAAGGAGTTATGTCGTGTTGGCTCAGCTCCATCGTCAAAGGAGGGCTGAATGAGGTCCTTCTTACAGCCCTGTGAAATGTTTATTGCTCAATGGTTCTGAAAGGTAGTGGTTTATTACCAAAATGTTTCATTTGCTTACTGAGTTCCAGGCATTTGCCTAAGCTCCCGATTCTGTCATTTAAGCTTTGTGAGCTAAGTTCCTTCATTATCTTATTCTGCAGATGAGGAAACAGAAGGCACAAGGATTAAGTAGTCTTCAGAGTTAGTAAAGCCTAAGATTTTAGATAAAGCCTGAATGTTCCTCCATTCATGTGTGACTGTAGTTATGTTTGTTTTCATGTGCACATGGATGACTTTTCAGCTTCCAACAGAATGAATTTACAACTCTACCAGTCTCTAGGTCCAACATCCCCTCGTACACTTAGAGAACTTAATGAAACCTGTAAGAGTTTTATGCTGGGGTTTTTGTTTGCTTTTTGATTCTTCTGATAACTTAAAGTTGTTGAAGTTATACTTGTTAATTTTAGAAGTGTGGTTGCCTTAAATGTTGAACGTGTAGGCAGACATTGTGTTTCTTTTGGGGGACACACTGGAAGCATGGGTTACAAAAGTCGATCATATGACAACATCTTCAGCTGGAAACGTTGCCAGGAGAAGATCTCATCACGTTTGCCAAGAAGTAAATGATGCTACTACTGAAAGTAAAGCAAGGTGCACAGGTACTGGGTTTGATATTACAGTGGTTTGTTTGTTTGTTTGTTTGTTTGTTTGTTTGTTTGTTTTTTCATTACCTAACATGAAATCTAGAATGTGAGCCTGAGAGCAAGCATTGCTTCTCCATGGTCTCTGCTTTGGTTCCTGCCTCCAGGTTCCGCACAAGTTTTACCCTGACTTCCCTCAATGATAGACTGTGACCTGGAAGTACAGGATAAAATAAAACTTTTATTTCCCATGTTGCTTTTGGTCAGAAAAGGAAATAGAATAGACAGTTGATCTTCATGCCAAATTTGACTGGATTTGAAATCACATAGGAGACAAGCACCTCTGGGTGTATGTTTGGGAGAGTAGGCTGGGCTCACCTTCAGTTTCCTTTCTTATACAGCCCATGCCACCTGCCTAAGGGTGGTACCACCCACAGTGTTGGCAAGGCCCTCCTCCATCAATTAGCAATCAAGCAAATGCCCTACAGACATGCCCACAGGCCAATCAGATGGAGGTAACTCTTTGATTGAGGTTTCCTCTCCCCAGCCTTGTCAAGAGTCTCTTATTGTTACAGCTGCAGATGCCAGGATTCCCCTGCCTCTGTTTCCCATCCTGACAACAGAGTGCTGCCACATCCAGCTTTACACAGGTTCTGGGGATCTGAACTCAGGTCCTCATGTTTGTGCCAAGTACTTTACCCACTAAACCGTCTCCTCGGCCCACATTTATCAAAAATGGTACTAGAGATGGAACCCCGGACTTTGAACAAGTTCTACAAGCATTGTACTCTTGAGCTGTATGCTCACCCCTCTTTTTATCTTGTATTTAAGACAAGGTCTCACTAAATTTCCAGGCTATCCTTGAATTCACACTGTTGTTGTCTTGGTCACTTTTCTGTGGCTGTGATAAAATAGCATGACCAAGGAAAGACATAGAATGAAGGGTTGATTTAAGTTTATGGTTCTAGAGAAATAAACACCCATGATGATGGAGCTGAGTGACAGATGACAGGCACAGAGGCTAGAGCTGGAGGTGAGGGTTCACATCTCAAAGCACAAGCTGAAAGCAGGCAGAGCGACTTGAGCTATTGATTCCCTTGCTTCTGCTTCCTGAAGAGTTGGGATTGTAGACCCACTGGGCACAGCCCTACGGCACAGACTGTCTGTTCTTCCAACTGTTACAGACACCTGGTTTCTTTCCAGTCCGGGACTGTTTCCTCTCTGCTAGGTGCCACCCTCACCTTCCCACTTCACCTTCCCTCCTCTGACTGCAGAAGCTGTCTCCAGACATCGCAAAATGTTCCACAGGTGTCAGATTACCTTTTTGGGAAGCTACTGGTTTAATCTGCAAGCCCTGTGCCTTACACCACTTCCTTGCTCTCTTGTGATGGTGAGCTCTCTGCTTCCTGTATTGGCTGCCATGTCTTCCTGTTGCATGCATTCTTATCTGTTTGGAAACATAAGACCAAGTAAAATCATCCTTTCAAAAACTGCCTTGGTCGCAATGTTTTAACATGGGAATAAGAAAGTAACTACTACAGAAGTTAATATCAGGGATGAAATATTGCTGTTGAAAAGACTGGCCACGCTGTTTTTGTTTTTGTTTTAGAGGAATGTGAAGACTTTAGGACTTTGGACTAGAAAGTGGTTGGACACTGTGAGTAGCGATTACAGGGTCATTCTAATAGGATCCTAAAGGCAGGAGTGCTGAGAGCCATGTGGACTAGGGAGGCACAGCTCAAGGGGTTTCCGAGGGGAATGATGTCAACAAATGGACTAGAGGCCATTCATGGGACACTTTGGCAAAGAATCTGACTGCCTTCTGCCCGTGACCTGAGAACCTGCTTGTGGCTAAATTTAAAAAAGAAAACAAAAAATGTTACAAACTTAGCATTCCATCCCAGGTGTGTGCTGGAACAGAGCTGTGATTGTTAAGATTAGTGACTTTAATGATCTGACTGGAACAAACAGAAGAGTTCTCCCAGGCCAAGACCCCACACAGCACTTCTGATTTGTAAAAGGAAAGGCCTAAAGCATTTTCTGCTCCTAGAAAGCAACTACAAACAAAAGCTGCTGCCAGTGTGGCTCAGGGAGATGAGGGTCCAACCCAAGCTGGCTGCAGAACTTGGCAGTGCCACGTCCTTGGTGCGGGCTTCAGCATGAAGGATGCAGGAGTAAAGGGGTCATAGATTCTTGCTCTGTGGTTTCAGAGAACAGATGCCAGACAGCGTGTGGCAGGGGAGTCCCCACATGATGGCCCTGAAATGTCAGGACGTCCTAAGAGGCCATCGTGTGAAGTGAAAGATATTGGAGGTATCAGAGCTATGGGATATCTGTTAGTTATGCCACGGCGCTGCCCCTCGTGGCTGGTGACCACCCGCAGCAACCATGCTGTCGGAGCAGTGTGCTGATTAAAAGAATCATAGTCATGGTTACCTTTTTAGAGCTTTATTGGGGGGGGGCAGGGAAGAGGGGAGAGAGAGAGAAACAGAGACAGAGAGACACAAAAGGCGGGGAGGGAGGGGAACCGACGGGAGGAAGGAGAGGAGAGGAGAGGAGAGAGGACAGAGAGCCCACAAAGGGTTCACCCTCTTTTTACGCTGGGAAGCCGGCGAAGGCTGATGACGTAATTAAGGATCAAATCCTTACAATATCTGCCAAAGAGAGCTTCACAAAAGGAGTAGAAACAGCCTGAGAAAGAGGTATTGATAAGCAAAATATCCCCAGGGAGTGGGTAACTCTGCCCATGCACTAAGCCTAATCAAACCGAATTAAAGGCCAGGTTTTAAAATGAGCAAAGATTCCCGGGTGGTCTCAGGAAGAGGGGAAACCACCAGGCAAGTTTATGGGCCGGACCTTAAATACCCTGTAGGAAAGGTCTTGAGTAGCTCTAGGGAAGGAGCCGATCCTTGGCCAGCATTACACCTGGAAAGCACACAAGACTGGACATGACCCTAATGGCCTGCTTCCAAAGCAGCAGGCCTCTGCCACTAAGATGAAGATGTGTTACTGCCTCATGAGGTAAAATAGAGTAGACAGAGTTAGGAAGCTTCTCTGTGTCTAATTTCCTTATGAAAATATCATAGAGATTCAGCTGTGTATTAAAGCTGAACTTTGACCAGCCAAGGGTCTGTCAAAAGGCAAAGCCATTTATTTGGTGTTTATTTAATATTTAATATTTCAGCTGTCTTCTGCCATGAAATCCTTGTGTGCCCAGACCTATTGGTAAACAGTTCAGCTCCCCAGACCTGCTGAATCTGTTACTAACTGCCCTGCTGAGCTTAGGCGACAAGCTGGCGGAGATGCCTAGCTTTGTTCCTGTGCTAATGAAGCTCAGACCTTCCCCTCAACTTGAGGAGGCCTAGTGGCCCTCCAGAGCACTTTGAGAACAAAAGAGGTTTTTACATATCAAGGTGGGAGATAAAACAACATTCCTGAGGAGGCAGACAATGAGGTGCCCAGGGAAAGAAAAGGCAGGCATATTCTGTAGACAGGGACAGAACCTCATGGTGAGAGAGAAGAGAGGACTGACCACAGAGGTTCCATAGAGGGTAAGCAGATCTCGGCTAGAGTTTTCTGAGTGCCAGGAGTAGAGAGTAGCAGAAATGGAGGAAGAGAGTACAGAGGACAAAGATGAGTCTGAAAGCATTGACATTAGTTGTTAGCAGGACTATGAGCTAGGGAGCTGGACAGAACTGCAGTTATGGAGACAGGATTTCATTCCCAGAGAAATGAAGTAGATGGATATAGATATGTCTAGAGTTATTCCTCCTGCATTGAATGCCTGGTGGAGCTATAGCTGAATTGATAGAATTTTGTCTTAGAGGAATAAAGTTAACAGACATAAGAACATAGTGTACGTAGATTTTTTTTCCTGATATCCCATGCCAGATGTAGCTAACCCCCAGGAACCCTGGGTACTCCATAGGTATTAAAGGCACACATGGGAACCTGAAGATGTGCAGATGAACTAGGGTTGAAACTCCATTGAATTCTCATACATTTTCAAGAGGTCCTATTTTAATTTATTATTTATTATTATTAATTGTTGTTCTCAGTGTCTGTGCTACTGGTGTTATATTTAGGAAGTGATCTCCTGTGCCAATGCATTCAAGAGTACTTCCTACTTTCTCTTCTAAAGGGATGGCTTTTAAGAGTGCTTGCTGCTCTTGCAGAAGACCCAGGTTCAAATCCCAGCACCCACACAGTGATCAGAACTATAACCTGTAACTCCAAGTCCAGGGGATCCAAAGCCTTTTTCTGGCCTACATGAGTACTGCATGAATGTAGTGCACATCTATACATGCAAGCAAACTCTCTTTTAAAGGGGTGTGTGTGTGTGTGTGTGTGTGTGTGTGTGTGTGTGTGTGTTTCATACCTGTAATCCCAGCATTCAAGAGGCAGAGGCAGGAGGATTGCCACAGTTTCAGGCCATCCAGGTCTCTGTAGTGACAGCAAGGGGGACTGGAGATAATGTTTGTTTCATGTTTTATACTACAGAGTCGATCTCAAGCCTGGCATAGTTTTCTTTCAGTTTCTGGTTTTAATTAGGTGTTGATATTTACTGGATGGAGTTTTCCTCTGGATCCTTGGGTTGCCACGGTGACATTTTTGGCCTTTTGGTGTTGTTTGGGGCTGGCCCCTGGCTGAAATGAGTTCTGACCTGAAAGGCTCTGAGCTTGTCACAGGGGTCAGGAAGATGTCTGTGTGCCTACAGAGGAGAATGCTGAAAAACCCTGGAGACGTTTCAGTGTGGCTTCAGGAACTTCAGAAAATGGCCAGAGGAGAAGAAGCAGCCCCTTGCTGCTGTGGCTTGCCTGCCAGATGCCACCTTTTCAGGAGCGTGGGACCTTAGAGGAGCAAGGACCTGGATCCTGGCCATGTGCTGACTGTTGGGTTGTCTGTCTGTTTTTCCAACTCTGGGACTAGAACCCAGAGAGCTTTCCCGAGGCCAGAAAAGTGCCCTATTCCAACCCCCTAGTCCCAAGTTTATTTATTTTATTTATTTATTTGGAGACAGGATCTTGCTCAGTAGTCCTGACAGCCTAGAGCTTCCTGTGCAGACCGGAGTGGCCTCCAGCTTCCAGTGATTCTCAGGGCTCCGCCTCCTGAGTGGTGGACCACTTGTCCTGCCCCAGGTGCTTTCTCTCTCTCTCTTTACACTGGGGCTCCTGTAGGCTAGGCAGCTCTCAGAACTACATCCAGACCAAAGACGACACTGAATTGATCTCCATTGTGCTCATCCCCTAAATGTGGATCAGAACATGAGCCGCCATGACAGACCCAAGTGCCAGATTTTCATGGTTATACTGATATGACAGGACACTCTTGTTTTTGAACTGCTTTTTTTTTTTCCCCACAAAGCCTTGTTAAGGAACATAGGCCAGACTGGAACTCACGATCCTCCTGCCTCAGCTTTCCGAGTGTTGGCATTACATCTAGTTTCTTGTATCTTTTGAATTTCTTAGATTCTTTTTTATTATTATTATTTTAAAAGTAATACACAATCAGAAGGACAGGAACAGCAGGCAAAAACAAAAATCCCAGGACCATGTAAAAACAACCACAACCCTCCAGAATCATGGAACAGCAACAACAAAAAGTAAAGGGAACTTCTTTTCTGGAGTGAAGTTTGAAATAAAACCAGAGTGTTCGAGAGTGATTACAGTGTTTCTTTTGAAAGATCACCAAAACACTAATTGCAAACCCCTCCCCCAGGAAACCAAGAAAACACAGCAGAAAAGAAGCCCCCAACTCTAAGGAAATGCATCATCAGCTTAATCACCACGCCACGCCACGCCTCCCCCAGCCTGGTCCTGTTGCTTCAGGGTAAACTGGAGCCTGAGTCACTTGACTGGAGGCTACTGAGTGGCCTGTGCTGCTATTAGAATGAATTATATTAATAACCAAAGTCCTGGTGCTGGACTTGGTAGTAAAGGTAGCCCTGAGCATATAGCAGGCCCTGGAACCAAACAAAAGCAATGCAAGCAAGCTGTGTGGTGGTGCATGCTCTGGAGACTGAGGCAGGAGGCTCCACCATGAGTCTGTGGGGTTTTTTTGTTGTTGTTGTTTTGGTTTTTCAAGACAGGGTCTCTCTGTGTAGCTTTGCGCCTTTCCTGGAACTCACTTTGTAGACCAGGCTGGCCTCGAACTCACAGAGATCCGCCTGCTTCTGCCTCCCGAGTGCTGGGATTAAAGGCATGCACCACCACCGCCTGGCGAGTCTGTGTTTTTTAAAGGACCCACTCACACACACACACTCCAGAAAGTCCTAGTTCTATTTCCAAGTATGATAAGTTTCCCCTGGCTTGTTGAGTTCTATCCTTTGCACCAAGAAGTGACTAGAAGAGAATGTTAAAAACAAAAAACAAACAAAAAGAGTCTGTTGTGGTGGCAGTGTGTCTGAGCTTCAATCACTGTTTTGCACAAGGTAAAAATTTATATTTCTTTCTCTGAGTGGCTCTGTCATAAAAATCTCTCCATGCATTTAAACCCAGCCTCTGAAGGCTCCTAAACCCTGAATGTATCAAAAATGAAGCTGGGTGGAAGCTGCTATTACTCTTAGCCCCCTTTTCTTTTATAAGGTTTTGTATGGGATGTTGGGTTCATGCGGATCCATGGAAGAACATCCAGTTATGCCAGCACCGTTTGTTGAAGATGATTTCTTTTCTCCGTTATATAGTTTTGTCTTCTTTATCGATAATTAAGTGTTCCTAGGTGTATGGATTTATGTCTGGGTCTTTGATTAGATTCCATTGATCCACCTGTGTGTTTTTATGCCAATACCATCAGCAATAGGTTCTTATATCAAGTTCTGAATAGTAGCAAAGAGCAATATCCTTATATTTGGGAGTCTATGGCACTCCCCGTCCTGAATTAATTTTGAAATCTCACAGGTGTCTTGAAATTATACTGGTTTTTTTCTTGATTTTCCAGTTGTAATATATGCTTTCAAAGTATTCCCAAATCACTCTCTGGATATCAACACATATTGTAATGTCTCCCTAGTCAACTGTAAATGTATTCATTTCAAAAAATGAATACAATAATAATGTATATTAAATAATAAACAAAATATTTAAAAGTTTAAAAGTAATACCAAATAACTTTAGGGGAGAGTAACAAAAGGTGAAGAACTAATACATCTTATCCAATAAAAAATATTTTTGCATGAAATCTTTTTGATAGTAAATAAAAAGATACAAGCATATGACTCAATCCTTCTCTTTTGAACACAAACAGATCAGCAGCAGAATATCTGAATACTCTGGAGATTGCTAGATGAAAACATGAGTGAATTTCAAACTATAATTACAGAAAAGGACCTTCTGGACAAGAATGCAGTTGCTTGGGAAATAAACAAGATTTGATGCGTAAGCCAACATGACACTTAAAAGCTTCTGCACAGTTATTCTGTCTTCTTTAGACTATTCTGCATGGCAGTGTCTCCATGATCTTTCTCTGCCTGTTTGCTGGTGGTGTGTAGAATAGCTATTGAGTTTGTAAGTTGATTCTGTGACCTGCCACTTTGCTGAGACTGTTGATCATCTCTGTAAGTTTTCTGGCAGGATATTTGGAAAATGTTATGTATAATATCATATCCTTGACAAGTAGGAATACTTTTATTTTTTTTTCTTTTCCTATTGGTATGTCTTTAATTTCCTTTTAAGGCTTCATGGTTCCAGCTAATGCATCGAATACAATAATGAAAAGGACTGGGCATAGTGGACAGCACTGATTATTTTCAGATTTGACTGGGATTGATTCAAGTTCTTCTCCACTGAACCTGATGCTGCCTGTGGGTTTGTTATAGAAACCTCCATTCTATTGAGGTGCATTTCCTCCAGTACTGTATTATAGGACTTTTATCAAAAAAGCATGTTGGATTTTACCAAAGGCTTTTTCTGCATCTTTTAAGATCATCATGTGAGCTTTGCCTTGAATCCATTTATGTTATTTCTCAGAATTGAAAATAATCTTTCAAACACAAAATTTTTTATCTAGAATATAGAGTAAATTTTCCAGGCCTTGATAAAAACCCTGAATCTGGAGCTGCTCATATGAAGAAATGAAACAATGAAATGGAGTAACATAAAAATATCAAATTGGGAGGTCAGGGTTTTTTGTTTTGTTTTGTTTTGTATTCACAACTGCAGAAGGCATAGTTCATATGACAGGATAACGTGATAAAGTAATATTTGGATGTTCAACTCCACTTGAAACTTTCTGTCTGCATAATGTCTGGCTGTGGGTCTCTGCACCTGCTCCCATCTGCTGCCAGAGAAAGCCTCTCTGATGATGACTGGACAAAGCACTGATCTGTGAGTATTGAAGAATATCACTAGGAATCATTTCATTGTTTTTTGTTTGTTTGTTTTTTGCCTGTAGTGTTTGATTCGATCCTAGGTCTCTGGACTATCCAGTCTCCAGTTCCTGGCCATCCAGATAGTATAGGACACCCACTCCTTCTCATGGACTGGGCCTCAAGTTAAACCAAATATTGGTTGGCCACTGCCACAAGTTCTGCACCACCGTTGCCCAAGCACATCTTGCAGGCAGGACAGATTGTAGGTCGAGGGCTTTGTGGATGGGTTGGAGTCCAGGTTCCTCTTTCTGTAGCCTGCAGAGTACCTTCTCATGTCAAAGAGACTAGTGAAGGCACCATGCGGGTACCAGCTCAACCTCTCTGCATTCAGTGAGCTGTGTGATGTTGTCTTCGGCAACAGGGTCCTGCTGTCCATTTTCGTGGAGAGACCCTCTGTCCTCACATCACCTTAGGTTGTTTAAGGATCTCCATGGGACTGCTCCACCACCACCCACCCAGGCCAACAATTCAATCGAATGCAAACCAGTCCCACCTCTGGAAGCCTTGCCTGGCTACAAAAGATGACCAGTTCAGACTCCATGTCCTCCATTACTAGGAACCCTCACTAGGGTCACCCTCATAGATTTCAGGAAGTTCACACGGCCCTAGATTTCCAAACCACCTCCAAATGCCCCCAATTCCATCTGTCTCTCCCTGCATTCTTTCCTTCCATCTCCCTCCAAACCAATCCCGTCTACTACTGTCTTCACATGCCTCAAGACCACCTGCAAAATCTATTCTATTTCTGTTCCCAGGGAGATCCATGCTTCCTCCCTAGAGCCTGTCTCTTTATCTAACCTCTCTGGGCTTGTATATTGTCTGGGCTTGATTATCATTTACTTAACAGCTAATATCCCTTATAATTGAATCCATATCAGATTTGTCTTTCTGGGTCTAGGTTACCTAACGCAGAATGAATTTTTTAGTTGCATCCATGTGATATTTTCTTGTATTCACACCTATATATATTTCACAAAGAAAATAATACTATGTGTTTTTATTTTTCAATCACCCAAAGTGTCTATTTTGTCTTATCACTTGTGTATGCAATTGAATGTGCTAGATTCATTTTGATATCTTTGTAATACTATTTAAAATCATGTTATAACACTTCCTACATTATACTTTCTAAGTAAGATTTGTTTGTCTTTTTGACAAGTATCCATTTGACTATATCCTGTCATTTGTGACTATAAAAAATGGCGGGTTCATTTTATATATAGATATATTCATTATATATATGCACACACACATATGTAATTTTGTAGGAATACTATCAAATCTCAGTATTGCTTTTGGAAATAGAGTCATTTTTACAATGTTAACACTATTAATCTTGTAACACAGGAGTTATTTCTATATTTTAGCATCTCATTCCATTTCTTTCTATGTTGAAGTTAAGAGAACTTTTAGAGGTTTTAACCACCTGGATGCCCATTATTTTTATTTACTATGTATTTTAGAAGCAAATGAAATGGTATTATTTTGCTGAATTTCTTCCATCACAACTTCCACCTGGACATAGAAAATGTAATATTTGAATGTTTGTTTGTGCCCTGTTATCATGTTTAAGTACTTATCATAGCTAAGTGTTTTATGCCTTAGGCTCTTTTACATATAGGTGCTTATTATAGGCAAATGGGAATGGTACGTCTTCTGCCTGCACTGTTTCTATCCTTTTTTCTTCAGCTCATTTGGCTTCCTTCTCTAGGTAAGGTTATTTCTTTACATCACTCCTCACAGTTAAATAGCACCTGAAAGGAAGCAACTGATTTGTGGAAGGTTTTAATTTGGCTTCCAGTTTCAGTAGGTCATGTCCATTGTGGCAGAGACGGCATGGTGGAAATGAAGAATGAGGCTACTTAATTCCATCTATGTAGACCAGAATGCAGGGAGTTTAACTTGGCCTTCAGCTGTCTTAATTTTCCCTATATTTCACCCAAGACTGCATATTATGGGATGGAAAAGCCAGTATTCAGAGGTCTTTTTAACTGTCATTTCATCGTCTGTGGAAATGGCTTCACAAACACTCAAATATGTATTGTTAGCGCCTGGGTGTAATGTAATCCAATAAAGTGAGAAAATGATCTTATCCACTGTTCTGGCTAGTCAACTTGGCACAGACTAAAGTTATCCAAGAAATGAAACTTCAGTTGAGAAAAAACCTCCACCAGTTTAGCCTATGAACCGGTCAGTGGGGACATCTTCTTGACTGATGATTGATGGAGAAGGAAAAAGTCAATGTGGGCAGTGCTGTTCCTGGTTGGGTAGTCCTCAGTGCTATAAGAAGCGGAATGAGCAAACCATGAGTAGCAAGGCAGAGCAAAGCACTCCTCCATTGCCTCTGCATAAGTTCCTGCCTCCACGTTCCTGCCTGGAGTTCCTATCCTGACTTCCCAAGATGATAGACTACAAGCTTTACTATGAACTATGTCCTTTCCTCCCCAAGTCTAAAAGTGTTCTTTTTACTAAGTATTATTTGGTTATTTAGGGTCTTTTGTGCTTCTATGTAATCTTTAGGATTTCTTTTTCCATTTCTTTGAATAATATCTTGGGGATTTTGATTAGGATTGGCTAGAATCTATAAAATGATTTTGGTAGGATGATCATTCTCACAATATTAATCCTACCAACCTGTGGGTCTGGAAGGTTTTTCTGTCTTCTGATGTTTACATCACTCTTGTCTTCACAGACTTAAAATATTTATGGTAGAAATTATTGCTCCCTTGAAGCTATGGTGAAAGGTAGTGTTTCTGTGATCTACTTCCCAACATGTTAGCTATTATTACATTCTGTGTGAAGATTATGGGTTTTCATTAGTTAATTTTGTATCTTACCACTTAGGTGAAAGTGATATTTCTAGATGTTTTTGGTAGTTTTATGGATGTCTAATATATCTTTTCCAAATAGGGAAAAATCAAATTATTTTCCATTTTGTAGTTCTTTTATGCAGAATATTGGAAAGGAATGGGGAGATAGTGGAAACCCCTGTCCTGTTCATAATTTTAATGGATCTCTTAGAATTTCTCTCCATGGAGGATGCTGCTGCTTGGGTGTTTGTAACATACAGCCTTTATCATAGTGAGTTACATTATCTCCAGTAGTGCACTTTTCAAGACTTTTGTCATGAAAGAATGTTGGATAAATGTCAAAGGCCTTTTTTTAACAACCATTAAAATGATCATGTGACTTTTCTCTCCCTGTACATGTGTATAGTTCATTACATCTGTTGAATTACATATATTGAGTAACCCCTGAATCTCTGGGATAAGGCCAATTTGATTCTGAATGATGAATGATGTATCTCTTCAATATCTGTTTATCAGAGAAGACATTTATTTTGCCTTCTTTTTAAAAAAAAAAATGAGATTTTGTTTAAAATGTAATCACATCCCTTACCCCTTTTCCTTTCCACCCACAATTAAATTCTATACCCCCATCTCTCTTATCAATAACCTCTTTTTCTTTTATTATTACTGTCACATATACATTGAGAAAGAGAAAAGAGTGAAATTTGTACAAATGTAAATAAACCTGCTGAGTCAGTTTTTGGTGTGTATGAGTAGATGACAGGATAATGTATATTGGATAACCTTTTAGGAGACTTATCCCTGGAAGAGACTAATTCTCCCTCTCCCAGCAGTTTTTGTTTAGGACTCAACCTTCCTAATGCCACGGCCCTTTAATACAGTACCTCACACTGTGGTGACCCACAACCATAAAATTATTTTCATTGTTACTTCACGAATGACTGTAATTTTGGTACTGTTATGAATCATAATGTAAATATCTGATATGTATAATATCTATTATGTGACCCCTGTGAAAGGAGCATTTGACCCCTCCAAAGGGTTACAACCCACAGGTTGAGAACCTCAGGTCTAGGGTTACAGATGTAAGACTTTCCCTTTGCTTTGGCATATCTATTGATATTACAATTGTTAAGATCTTATTTAACATATATTTCTAGGAGAAACAGTGTCAGAGCAGACTTCCTGGTCCTCTGGCTCTTACTGTCTTTCTGCTCCTTTGGCAATTTTTTTCCACAGATTTAGGTGCCAGAGTTACATTGCAGGTGTATTCAATGTGGATGCACAAGCTAACATCTTCACAGGCATGACCACTGGATAAGACTAATGACTGTTTCTCCTACTTGTCAGCTTGCATAGTTTTTTTATGGTACTATGGCAGCTAGATGATATTTCTGCTATGTTCCTGTATTTTTGCTAGTATTTTATTTAGAATTTTTGCATCTATGCTTCTCAATAATATCAGCCTATAGCATTTTCTTTTTGTATTTGTCTTTACCTGGTTTGGGCATTCAGATTAATCCTAGCTTTGGAGAATGCATAGGGAAGTGCACCTCCCATTTCTATTTTTATTAGAATAAATTAAGAAGTATTTGTTGTAGTGCTCTAAAAGTCTGGTATAATTCTCTTGTGAATCCTAGATGGATATCTTGTACTGAATATCTTGTACTCTGGAAGGTTTTCAGTATCGTTTCAAAATCTTTGTTTGTATTGGGCCTGTTTGACTTACTGATGTCTTCTTGACTTAGTATTAGTTATGGATGAAGTTATGAATTTTTCATTTTCTTTTACATTTCCTAACTTAATGATACAATAGTATATGATTCTTTTTTTTTTTTTTTTTTTTTTTTTTTTTTTTTTTTTTTTGGTTTTTCGAGACAGGGTTTCTCTGGGTAGCTTTGCGCCTTTCCTGGAGCTCACTTGGTAGCCCAGGCTGGCCTCGAACTCACAGAGATCCGCCTGCCTCTGCCTCCCGAGTGCTGGGATTAAAGGCGTGCGCCACCACCGCCCGGCCAGGTTTTTTTTTTTTTTTAAAGGTGTGAGTGCTCTAGCCGGGCGGTGGTGGCGCACACCTTTAATCTCAGCACTCAGGAGGCAGAGGCAGGCGGATCTCTGTGAGTTCGAGGCCAGCCTGGGCTACCAAGTGAGCTCCAGGAAAGGCGCAAAGCTACCCAGAGAAACCCTGTCTCGAAAAACCAAAAAAAAAAAAAAAAAAAAAAAAAAAAAAAAAACAAGTATATGATTCTTAAGTATTTCCTTATAATGCTCCAATTTTCTTTAACATCTGTTGTAATATTTCCCTGTTCACCTCTGACTTGGTTAATATGTCTTCCTTCCTTCCTTCCTCCCTTCCTTCCTTCCTTCCTTCCTTCCTTCCTTCCTTCCTTCCTTCCTTCCTTCCTTCCTTCCTTCTGGCTTAATGTGCTAAAGTGTGTGTCAACTTCGTTTATTCTTTCAAAGAACAAACTCACAACTTTGGTATTCACATCCTGCAAGACAGAGGTTTAGGAAAGTACTTTCTGATTAACACTACATTAACTCAGGAATTACATTCACCAGTTGAGAACTGGAACTTCATAAAACTAAAATGCTCTGGATAATAGGATTAACAATAAGTCTAGTGAAGGAGAATCATACAGAATGGGAGACAGTATTTGTCAGGTTTATATCTGATAGAGGACTTACTTTCTGACTATATAAAGAACTCAAAAATCAGAGTTAAGAGAAAAACAACTAAATGGTCCACAGATTTGAACAGAGAGCACACAAAAGAATAACTATAAATAGCATAACAAGTGTTCAACAACCTGAGCAATTAGAGAAATGCAATTTAAAACAACTCTGAGATTTCATTTTTCATTAATTAGAATGAAGAAGATTGGGGAAATGTGTAGCAATAAAAGCTGGTAAGGAGGGGGAGAATGAAGAGTTCTTAATCACTGTTGGTGATTATAAAATGATACAGCCACTATAGAAATCAGTGTGAAGTATTCTAGAGAGTGTGATAATAGTAGTTCTCTGCCATGAAAGGGGTAACAGGAATTGTGGATAATAAAGGAATAATAAAGAACAGACTTAGGAGGGGATGGGAAGGATAATTCAAGAGGTTAGTGAAGGAGTGATAAATAACATGATGAATGTTTGAAAAAGCCAAGTGAAAAATATTATTATATAGTATTATGATAAATTAATGTTTGAAGTTATTTTAAAATGTCTGTAGAGAATGTACTTATAATCTATATTTGTCTTTTATGAATCTAAGTTACGCTCTTATTTTTATGATAAGACACCAAGACCAAGGCAACATATAGAAGACATAGTATCTTGTGGGGCTTACAGTTTCAGAGAGCGAGTCCATTATCATCATATCAGGGAACATGGCAGCAGGCAGGCAGGCATGGCACTGGAGCAGCGGCTGAGAGCTTCACCCTAATCTGTGAAGAATTGTCTTAGAATTTTGATGCTTTGGACTGAATCTGTAGATTGCTTTTGGTCATTTTCACAATATTGATTGTACCAAGACACGAGTGTGGAAGCGCTTCCGATCTTCTGCAGTCTTCTTCCATTTCTGTCTACAGTATCTTAAAGTTTTATTATACAACTCTTTCACTTGCTTGGTTAGATTCATCCCAAGATTTTTATGTGGATATTGTAAAAAGGATTGTTGCTCTGATTTTTTTTTCCTCAGTGTTTTGTCATTTGTTTATAGGAAGGTTACTGATTTTGTGTTAATATTGTATCTTATTAATTTACTGAAAGTGTTTACCAGCTGGAGAAGTTTCCTGATGGAGTCTTTAGGGTCTTGTACACATAAAATCATATCATTGTCAAGTAAAGATACTTTTATTTCTTCCTTTCCGATTCCCATCCCCCTGATTTCAGCTGTTTCATTGTTCTAGCTAAGACTTCAAGAACTATTAGAAGGGCTGGAGAGATGGCTCAGCGGTTAAGAGCACTCACCGGCTGCTCTCCAGAGGTCCTGAGTTCAATACCCTTCAACCACATGGTGGCTCACAACCATCTGTAATGAGATCTGGCGCCCTCTTCTGGTGTGCAGGCAGAACACTGTATACATAATAAATAAATCTTTAAAAAAAAAAAAAGAACTATTAGAATAAGTGTGGAGAGAGTAGATGTTAGGATCCTGTACATGTGCAGCTTGGGGTCTTGCATCTTACGTCATCAGGGGCGCTGACCACTACGTACCTGCCATGGTCACGCAGTCTGTGCCTTCTCTCTCTGCTTTCTACTCTCTCTGTTTCCTCTCTGCTCCCTGCTCTGCTCTGCTCCCGCCAACTCTCCCTCCCCCCAGGCCTAGCTCCCCCCTCTCTCTCCCTCACCTTTCCCTTCTAATAAAGCTCTCTGTAACTCTAGTAATCGTGGCCATGGCTCCTGACTTTTCCACCAGTAACCAGTGCCACCAAACAGTGCTGTTTATCTTTCAGTAGACACCGGTTTTTATTTCTGATTTTAGAGGATTCTTTGAGATTCTCTCAGTTTAGATTGATGTTGGCTGTGGGCTTGCTACACACTGTCTTTATTATATGAAGGTATGTGTTAGTTTTATGCGGCGCTGTTTACCCTGTGAGAAAAAGTCATGGGGCACAACAAAACCCACTATAAGAGTTTATTAGGAGGGGCTGGAGAGATGGCTCAGAGGTTAAGAGCACTGACTACTCTTCCCAGAGGTCCTGAGTTCAATTCCCAGCAACCACATGGTGGCTCACAACCATCTCTAATGAGATCTGGTGCCCTCTTCTGGTATGCAGAGATACATACAAACAGAACACTGTATACATAATAAATCTTTAAAAGAGAGAGAGAGAGAGAGAGAGAGAGAGAGAGAGAGAGAGAGAGAGAGAGTTTATTAGGAGTTTATTAGGAGAAGGGAGGGACAGGAGAGGATGTGATCAGGCCTGTTTGAAAGACATGTGTGGAAGAGGGAAGAGAGGGTAGTGGAATCTGCCTTTTACAGACTCCCTCACATATGCACATATGGGCCTACACTTCGCCACGCATGTGCATAGATTACGTGCTCACACTGCACACAAATTACATGACCACACAGCACACAGATTACATAGGTATGGCCCCAGAAATGACTAAGCACCTTGCCAGCGCATGCGAGGTCATGGAGGCATAGCTAGAAATCCTGTCCCTCTTTTAAGCTTTTGTCATGTGTGTTACAATCTGAATAATCACAGTGATTAGGTACCTAGAAAGGTACCAGAAGGAGGAGAGAACCTTCCAAGGAATTGAAAATTGAACACTGACTTACTAAGTATAGACACTGTCTTACAGTGAAAGGGTAGGAAAAGGGATCCCAAGGAAATGGAACAAGGAAACAAGGAAAAGTTGTACTGTACTTCCCCCAGATCCCCCTTGATGGTTAATATCGATTGTCAACTTGACAGGATCTCTTAAGTCCCTTAAGAGACTCTGGACTCCTCTGTGAAAGATCATCCACATGCTGAGGTAGAAAGGCTCACCCTAAATGTGGGCAACACCAGACGGAACAAAACAGACAAAGTAAGCTAAACATCTCTCTCTCTATCTATCTATCTATATATCTCTATCTCTATCTCTATCTCTATCTCTATCTCTATCTCTATCCTCTCTCTCTCTCTCTCTCTCTCTCTCTCTCTCTCTCTCTCTCTCCACTCCAGTCTCTCTCTCCTTTCCCCTGCCCCTTCTCCACCCTCCCTGTGCTTCTTGGTTGTGGATGCAAGATGACCAGCTGCTTCAAGCTTGGGCCATAATGCCTTCCCACCACAATAAACTACACCTTACAAACTGAACCAAAACCAACCCAATGTAACTAGTACATTCCATTGGGAAACAAGTCCTTGTACCTCTGGATGCTCTCTAATAACGGATAAACCAGGCAGCCTCCTCAGACACCTCTTCAAGCCTGCTTCAGAAAAGACGTTTCTGCCTTATGTTGCAGTTTCACATTATTGCCACTAGGTGGCAATATGGATCCTGCTGTGGAGTCCCTAAAAATTAGCAGGTTTCTAGGAGCCTGTGAAGTAAACATTTAAAATGTCTCTCAACGATTTCTTTTCTCTTTCGTTCTTTCTTTCAGCAAGTGTTTCTTTTATCTTATGACTCGCTGAATTTAACTAGGGTTGATTGGGTGAGCGTGAGTGTGGGCTTGGGTGACGAAACTTTTCCTGGGGGCACAGGGAACCCACAACACCAAAGTACGGATACTACCAAAGTCCAACCTGGTGAACCGATGAGTTGTATTGTGGTTGCTAACAAGAATATGGGGTGAGGGGTTACTTACCGGAACAGAAATGACTCAAAGACAGCTGCATCACATGAGGAACTGTGTACTAAAAGGTCTCAGCATTAGGAAGGTTGAGTACCACTGACCTAGATCCTAGATTTTAGGAGGTCAGAAAAAGTAAAGGACAAAAAGGGATAGGGAGCCAGGCGGTGGTGGCGCATGCCTTTAATCCCGGCACTTGGGAGGCAGAGCCAGGTGGATCTCTGTGAGTTCGAGGCCAGCCTGGTCTACCAAGTGAGTCCCAGGAAAGGCGCAAAGCTACACAGAGAAACCCTGTCTTGAAAAACCAAAAAAAAAAAGGGGGGGGGGGGATAGGGAGAAAGGAGACAGGGAGGCAGGCTTCCTCAGCAATTTTTTCCTTTTTCTTTTCTTTCTTTTTTTCTTGTTTTGGTATGATTTGAGTTCGGTTTTGCTTTGTTGTTTTTCAGATTTTTGTTGAAGGTGACTTTTTTTAAATCTTGTTTTGGGAGTTGTTTACTGGTGTTTTTTTTTGATGGGGTGGGGATTGTTTTTGAGACAGGGTCTCATAGAGCCCAGGCTGGCCTCTAACCCACAATATAGCCAAGGAAGACCTTGAACTTGAGATCCTTACCACCTCTTCCTCCCACGTCCTGAGACTATGGGTGGTCAGTCATCAATACGTGTACTCAAGACACGACTAGGAACTACATTCACGATGCTGTACGACAGATCTTCAGCGTTTACCCATCATGTCTAGCACTTCGCACTTGTGGAGCAACATCTTCCCATGCTCAACAACTCATAATGAATGGATGAGACTTGAGAGAGCCTGTGTGGGACTCATTGCTTGCCTGTTAGAATGAGATTAAACTCAAATTTATTAACCAGGCATGAAGTATGTGGAAATGTCTTTTTCTGAAAATTGCTCTTGCCTTCAGAAACTGAACTTTTGCTGGACCTTGCAACCAAGTTAATAACATGCCTGGGGATCATTCAAAACTATGAACCTATCCTGCTGCCTTACTGTGTACTCAGCCTGTTTAACTTGCCTTTAAGAGAACAATGTAACCGACCTCACCATGCCTTGCAATTCCCACGTAATCAGCATTTACAACCTAAGCTAAAGGCATAGCTTCAATCTTAAATTATGTACTCTCCCATGTCCCTGACCCAGAATGATGGGGGTGCAGGTTGTAATCGTTTGCTGAAAGCAACCTTAAACAAAATAAATACCCCATAAATGTTCAAAGCAACATGTGAGTATAAAGACTGATAACAACTGTTTGTAGTTTCCATGCTATTCTGGGCCAGCTGGGATCCATACAGTAACTTCTTACCTTGTAGAACTTTGTTAAAGACTTCTAGAGAAAGGAATCCCTCATGCTTTCTCATGCTGTGTAGCAAAGCCCTTCGTTAGGGACAGACTTCAGACACACACAACAAACAGGCCACAGACAGATGGAAGGCACAGAGATAAACGTGGAGAATTCAAATTTGGGCTTGTTCTTAGTCTACATGACTCAAAGAGGAAGTCTCTCTATTCTTAATGCAATACTAATGCAGATGTACACATCTGTAACCCTAGACCTAAGGAGGCTGAAGGAGGAAGATTATGAACTGATGACCAGTTTAAGCTACATACTGAATTCCAAGCTACCCTGGCCTACATAGTGAAAATTTATTTTAAAAAAAAAAAAACACAGAAAATATCAAATCTGCCAGATAGTGGTGACACATGCTTTTAATCCCAGCACTCAGGAGACAGAGGCAGGTGGATCTCTGTGAGTTCAAGACCAGCCTGGTCTCCAGAGTGAGTTCCAGGACAGCCAGAGCTATATAGTGAAATTCCCCTGTCTCAAAGCCACCCTCCCACCAAAAAAAGAAAGAAAAGAAAAGATCAAACCTGTGTAACACTGATATGGGTTGTTGCTGTAGTTCATGGGAGCTTTTCATTGATTCTTCCCCATTAATGAACAATGTCTGACTACTGCCAGACAAGGATCTGTGTCTACTTACCAAAATAATAAGATTTTAAAATCCTCTTTAATATTCTTTGGTAGGAATCAGTTCTGGGACTAGAGGGCATGTCTCAGTGGTAGAGCACCTGCCTAGAATTCCCCAGTGAGGGGCTAGGGGTGTGGCTTAGTGGTAGATCCCTGCCTAGAATCCCCCAGTGAGGGGCTGGGGTGTGGCTCAGTGGTAGAGTACTTGCTAGCTTATGTGAGCTCCAGGTCCTGGGTTCCATCCCTAATACCTCAAACACACATACACACACACACACACACACACACACACACACACACACACACACCTCAGTTCAGATTCCACATTTTAAGTGCTCAGCATATACATGTGACTGACAGCTACCCTGTTGGAAAGAACATGATTGGAATCTTAAAAAGAATCTCTGGGCATAGCTTCTTCATGTTCAAATCCTGATCTCTAGAATGAGTCCTGCATTTCAATAACTACAGATCATGAGCACTACTGTCTATTGTCGCTGTTAATTGCTTTTAAATGATCAAGACCGAGTTGCCAGGTCGGAAGTCACATCTGAGTCTTTACTTAGCATGAATTCCCCCCCAGAAAAGGCCACTGTCTTGACTATGACGTCAACATCGCATTCTTCACTCTCTCCATCTTCTCTCTCTGCATGTGTCTACTCTATGTACATAGATAAATGGAATCAAACAGTCTTTGTCCTCTT